CCAGTTCTTCCAGTTTTTCCTCGTAGGGCTTGGTTTCCAGCCCCCTCCTCATCCTTGTTGCCCTCCTCTGAAACAGTCCCAGTTTATCTGTATCCTTCTTCAAGTGCAGTGTCCAGAACTGCACATAGTACTCAAGATGAAGCCTTACCGGTGCCAAATACTGTAGAGGGGCACAACTACTTCATGTGATTTGGAGATTAGACTTCTGTTAATGCAGCCTAAAATAGCACTGGCCTTTTTTTGCAGTCACATCACACTGTTGATTCATATTCAGCTTGTGGTCTTGTGTGCTTTTAAAATCTCATGCAATTTATTCTTTTAATGTTACATTTATACATATTTTATATTGTCTTTGTGAAGTCTTAGACAATAATGATGTATTCTGGTATGCCATATGAACTCAATAAGCTTGCAATCTAGGATGATTCCAAGATCCTTCTCGCTCTTAGCATTGCTGAGCCAGGTATCCCCCATCTTGTAACTGTGTGTGTGTTTTCTTTTTCCGAGGTGCAGTACTTTGCACTTATCTCTGGTCAATTTCATTGCGTTGTTTTCAACCTAGCGCTCCAGCCTATCAAGATCTTTTTGAATTTTGTTCCTATCTTCCAAGGTATTCGCTATTATCTATCCAACCAATTTTGTGTCATTTGCAAAACTGATCAGTACTCCCTGCGCTCCCCCATCCAAGTCATTAATAAAAATGTTGAAGAGTACAGGGCCCAGAACTGAGCCTTTTGGTGCCCCAACTTGTTACCTTCTCCCACTGATAAGCCCTCTCTGAGTATGATTCTGAAAGTAACTGTATATCCACCTGACCCCTGTGTTCAATCCAGCCCACACCTGGTTGCTTGCTAATCAGAATATAATGGGGCATTGTGTCAAAGGCTTTGCCGAAGTCAAGATATACTACATCTACAGCACTTCCACTACAGCACTTCCACCGTCTGCCAGGGAAGTTACCCAATCAAAGAACATTCATTCATTCATCATCTATCTGTCCGTGTGTCCGTCCATCCATCTATCCTGCCTTTCTTCTTAATAAAATACTAGATCAGTCTGGAAGGATTTGTTCTAAACAAATTTGTCTTGACTTCTAGTTATTACTGCTTTGTTTTCAAGGTACTTACAGAATAGTTTTTCTTTTTCCTTTTTAAAAATTAATACATGCAAAATTACAAATAACAAAATTAGAAGTAAAATACAACTAAAATACAATGTATATTGCATGACTACATGCAATAGGCATTGAACTTTTCTCACCTGTGCCACCTTCACCCTTGGGGCTAGGTGACCAATAATATCAATGTGTACTTCTTTTCATTCCATTCCTCTCCAAAAATACATTGATTATTCTGATGGAATATAGCCTTTTCCCTTCGAAAAGGCATACTCCAAAAGAAATTCCATACATCTTTGAAATCATTAGACTTTACCATTCCTCTTCTTATTTTCATTTCACATTTTAACTTGTCATTGATTGCTAAGCTCCACCTTTCTTTATCCCAGTCTTCAAGATTGATTTGTTTGTCATTTTTCCAATTCTTTGCAAATATTAATCTTGCTACCCTAACCATTATAACAACTAACTGTTTCTGATATTTTTTTTTTCAAATGGTCATTCTTAATTATGTTCAGGAGGGCAATAATTGGCGATATCTGAATATTGCATCCAATACTTTTTCTAATTTTGTTTAAAAACCAGTACCCATACTTTCTTATTTCACACTGTGAGGGTTCAAATGGGGTCTCTTCAGGTTTGGACATAGACACCATAGGCTCATGAGTTGCAAAATCAAAACTAGGCTTTATTGGAACATTGAACAACAGGTCCTTTGCTTCTAATTCTACTCCAACGTTGTCTCTCCAGACCAACAAGTCCCGAGGGCATCCAAACGTCCTCGCTAAATGGATTAAACTCAGAATCATTCCAGGGACCCTTGGTAAAAGGATTATTGTCATCCAAGTCCAAAGAGTCAATTCCCGGGTCTGTCAGCAGTATGGTCTCCTCGTCTCTTCCCGCAGGGTCGAAGGGCTCCTCATCTCTTCGTAAGGGAGCCCACGGTCCGGCCATAACCCTCTCCGACGGGCTTCCTCCAATCTCCATGCTCTTCTCTCCCTTCTCTCCCCACACCTTCCTTCTCTCCCTCCGTCTCCGGCTCCACTCACGCGCCTCCGATTCCCCCCCCCGCCCATACGAGGGTCGCAGGAGGCAGACCTCTTTTCTTCCTATCGTCTGCCTCCTCCCTGGGAACCCAGACCTTTTCGCACTTCCCGGTCCAGGGGTCTTCCACCTCTATTAACTCCCAGCCCCCGGGTATATTGTCCCTTGCCCCTTTTATATCCCCTGTTCCCGCCTCCACGGTGGTTCTGCCCCTTTCTTCTTTTCCCCCATTTCCCCTTCAGTCTGAGTGGCTATCGTTATTTTAGCAAACCCCTGTTCTAGTTCCCTGGTGTCCGCTCCCCGATGTACGGTCGGGATGGGTGATGCAAGCGGGTCTGTTTGCGCCTCCTGTTCGTTCCTACGGGAGGACGACACTCCGGCGAGGGCTTCTACAACCTCGCCTCGTGTCTCTCACACACGTCCACCATATGTGCATATAGGTCCCTCTTTCCTTTTTTGCATCTCCAGCACTGAGATAGTAGCAGTAGTTTTTCAAGGTAAGAAAGATTCAGCAGGGGTTCACCCTTGCCGCCTTCTGGGCAGCACGAACACAAGTTAGCTTCAGTGTCTTGCCTCCTCTGCCAGTATCACCTTGAACTACGGAGGCAGTTCTGTTCCAGCCCGTTGCTGCCCTGAAGAGGACGGACGGACACCTCTTGGTGTCTCAGCTGTGCCTGTGACACCTTGGATGACTCTGCTGGGAGTCCCAGCCCATAAGGGAGTCTGGCCTCCTGATGGAGCCTTTCAACCATGTTAGGTGTGCATCCAAGATCAGGGCAATTTTTTGTATCTATCTATTGATCGATCTCTTGATCAATCTAGCAATTTTCAATGGCAGGGCAAGACAATACAGCAGGGTGTCTTTCGGTCGGTTGAGAGCTTAGCCGACTCCCGAGGTTTATGCTCTTGTGACCGCGTTGCTCATCTTTACCCTAGCCAGTCTTTCCATGGAGCTTCTTGGGTCACGGGGTGAGGTGGCTCCCTCTTTAGAGATGATGGGTCTTACTTCGGTCACTTTGGAGACAGGGCACGGAACCCTCCCTCCCCGAGGAGCTGCCTTGCTTCTTTCTGCCACTGGAGGAGCCATTTCACACCCGACGTTCTTGAAGCTGGGCGCCATGGGGAGGGGAACCAATTTGTTTGAGGGGGCACTTTGTCTAGAAGGCCTAGATCTTCTGCTCTTGTCATCATGATTTGCATCCTGTGGCCCTTCTGGTCCTCACGTTTCTATGGTGACCCCACGGGACAATGGTGGGTGGAGCCTACACTCCAACCCCGGAGCAGCTTCGTCGGAGGCCAGTCAGGGTGACAGGAGCCAGGAGGCACCATGGCTAGCAGGTGGGTGCACAGGCGGGGTGGGGGCAGGGGCGGGCTCCTCTTTCGCAAAGGGTGAGCCTGTGTCCCCTCCCGCCCTCCTTCCCTGCGCAAGGGCTTCCAAGAGCCTCGCTGCTTCCATCTCCGTCTCTCCTGCCGGCCCACCATCCTAAGATCGATGCCTAAGCGGTCCCCTCCCCGCCCTTTGCTCTTTCCCTAGCCGCCGCGGGCCCCGGAGAACTCCTTTGGCTTTTTGTCCTGGGGCGCAGAAAATTTTTCTTTGCTAAAAGAGCAGGCTGCTGGAAAGGCGGTCCGAGGGACGGAACAGCTGCGAAGGAGGCGAAGGCCGCCCTAAACCGCCCCGTCGGGGCGGGGGAGGCAGGGGAGGGAGGGAGTTCTGCCTGCTCTCCCCATATGTGGCCCCCCCTTGCCCGGTTGCCGGGAGTCTCAGAGGGCAACGACGCCACTCCTGTAGGCTGGGGCGTCGCCGCCGGCTCCCCACGCACTTGGGGCAGAAGGCGGTGCCCCCCAGGAGAAGGCAGCCCAGATAGCTCTTTCGCCCGGCGGTGAAGCAGGGAGGCCAAGCTTGCGGCCGGTCTCTCGGTGCCGGCGACTCAGCGGGTCGGGGCCTCCCCCCTCCTCCCCCCCCCCTCTGCAGCACGTACGGGAAGCTGTGGCAAGAGTCGCGGCTGACCCTTCAGGAGCTGCTGGCCCAGGAGCTGCCCAAGGAGCCGGCCAAGCCCGAGCGGAACCGCGCCGTCTTCTACCATCGGGTGGCCACCCTCTTCGTGCGCTACCTGCAGACGGCGCGCCGCCTGGAGGCGTGTTATGGCCAGGGGGTCCACCCGCAAAAGCGCCAGGTGCTGCGGAAGCTGTTGGACGCTGTGCTGGGCCGCATCCTGGAGCTGAAGCAGGAGCTGGTGGAGCTGGACGTCTCCGAGTACCACTACATGGACCACGTGCTGGAGGAACTCAAGCTCACGCCGGTCCGTAAGGGGGGCGCGTGCGGACACTATGGCGGGGGGGGGGAGCTGCTGGCCACGTCTCCCTTCGGGCCTCTCAGGCTTTGCCCTAGAGGGATCCGCCTGCCCGCCAGGCCCTCCTTTCCTAGTGGCGGTGGGAGACGAGGTGGCCTGCGGGACGCAGCCGGAGTGGAATGAGGCTCTCTCCCCGGAGAGCTGGCCTGGCTGCCTCCTTGGCGTGACCTTTCTCCCCCTTCTGCTTTGCAAGCCTCCAGACACTTGGCGTTGACGTTGCTCGCCCTCGCCTTTTTCGTCTAGGGTGGACACTCTGTGCTTTTTCTGCGCTCCAGCTTTTCGCTTTCGTAACGTAAGGCATCCTGAGAACCTGCCCAAGGGCGGGTGTCCCTCTCACCCATAACGTCACGCTCAAGGCGGACGCAGCGCTCCCGAAGGCGCTCCGTGTCGCGGCCTCGCCCAGTTGCAGCGCTCCCTGGGCCGCCGCGAACGGTCCACTAATGTCGCCCTTCTCTTGGCCTCTTCTTCCTCCTTCTTCCATCTTCCCAGGCGGATCTGGAGGTGCCCATCCCGAAATACTTCCTGAGCGAGCGGGCCAGGGTGCTACAGGAGCGGCAAGAGGTGCTGGCGGGGCTCTTGACCCGCGTCGGACCCAGCAAGGCCGCCTTTGTGAGTCTCTCCCTGCCTTTTTCTACGGTTGGGGAGGGACGTTTTTTCGGCCCGGCTGGGGCTTCGGCAGACGCTCGCGGCCTTTCCGAGCCCTTGCTCTTCTAGGTCGGCGTTTCCTCGCTGAAAGATGGTAGGCCGCCAGGGCCACCATCCTAAGATCGATGCCTAAGCGGTCCCCTCCCCTCCCCGCCCTTCGCTCTTTCCCTAGCCGCCGCGGGCCCTCATGCCGCGAGAGGAGGCCGTGCGGCTGATCCAGATGGCCGAAAGGATGCGGCAGGGCCGCCTGCGGGCCCGCTTCATGTGGGAGATCCGGAGGGACGAGGAGCGCGAACGGCGGGTGCGCGAGAGCGGCATGTCCGAGCCCAATCGAGAGCTGGCGGCCACCTGCATCCAGAAGGTGAAGGAGGGAGAGCTGTGTACCTCCCGGGGGACAAGAAAAGGCAGGGCCAAAAGGGGACCTGGGTTAGAATTAAGCGGCACCATTTGTCCGGAGTGTCCTACTCAAAATTTTGCTTATAATCGCCTGTTCGGGTTCGAGGTGTGTGTGTGGGGGGGGGGAAGAAGCGCCTCTTTTCACCAGCCCCGCAACTTTCTTCCGCGGCCGACTCCTCCCAGTGCCGCCCCCCAACGGACTCCCCGTCTGGGCTTGAGCCTCTTCTTTTCAGCCGCCAATCTTTCTCTGCCCTGGCGAGGGTGCTGTCGGTTCTCTGCCCGTCGGAGGTCCGGCCCCGAGGCAGGGCTGGGCGCGGGGGGCGCTCTTTGGCAGCCAAGCCAGCGGGACTGTCCTCCCTGCCTAGCCATTGGCTACTTACTCTCTGGAAGCCGCCTCGCCTCTGGCCTGTCCGCAAGAGACCCGCGGGAGGCCGGGAAGCGAGGAGAACCGGATGGCGGAAAGCTCGGCATCTCACCTCTTGCAGAGGACGAGAGTGCAGGGAAGGAAAGCGAGAAGGACCGGGCCGGGGCCCTTCAACTCTTTCTCTGCGTATTCTGGGGAAGCTAGGTCAATGGGACAGGTTTCTAGGGAATGGGGCTGGAACGCCCCTCAAGGGGCAGTCTGGAGCGCAAGGTAGGAGCCACACAAAGGCAAAGCAGGGTGGGTGGGAAAGCTTGTGCACGTGCAGGCGCCCGGGCCCTATCTGAAAGTGCTGTTCCAAATACCGAAAACAAAACTGTGCCAAGATCATGCACTCTGTGTGGGTGCTGCCACACACATTAAGCGTGCCTACCCCCCCCCCACAACGTTTGACCATATAGTTCCCAAAGATCTAAAGGCAACTTGGACCTATGCAGGCCCCCGGTAAGTTAGATGTTTCCTGCGTTAGTAGGGGGCTGGTCCATGACAAGCCATGATGGGCTTAAAGGAAGGTACTTCAAAATGCCAGATGCAGGGGAGGGGTATCAGGAGACTGGTCTCTAGTGGTCTCCTGTGCTCCAGAGGCATCTGATGAGGCCACCATGAGAGGCAGGAAGCTGGACTAGAGGGCCCTTGGCCTGATCCAGCCCGGGGCTCTTCTTAGGTTCTTATGGACTCCATAATGCATCAGATCCCTTCCAGCTGTCCAGTTCTCTTGATTCCATGAAAAATCAAGACTGTGTGTTTGAAATTTATGTGGAGTTCTTTAAAGGTGAGGCAAGTTGCATTCAGTGAAGGTGGATTTGACTTTCCTGATCTTAGTTTATATCATTAAGCCTATTTGCAAACTTGTATAAAAGCTGGACAGTAAAGAAAGCTGACAGGGGAAAAATGATTCAATTGAAATGTGATGTTGAGGGAGCTTTGCAGATAGCCTGGACTGCCAGAAAAAGAAAAAGAAAAAGGTCCTAAACTAAATCAAGCCTGAACTCTCTCTGGAGGGAAAAATGTTGAAGCTGTCCTACTTTGGGCCCGTAATGTGAAGGCAGGACTCTCTGGAAAAGACAGTAAGGCTGGGAAAAGTGGAAAGCAAAGGAGGAACACCAAATATGGGATGAATCAACTCTTTGAAGGAAGCCACAGTCTCATGTTTATAAGACTTGAGCAAGGCAATTGAGGAGATCACTCATTCATAGGGATGCCATAAATCAGATGGAACTTGGCATCAAAGTATTTTTGGAGTGGAATGGGGTGAAAAGTTCCAAAATGATACCTTTGGTTACCTAGTCCTGAGAGTGAAGGTGGCACAGGTGGGGAAAGTTTGATTTGTGTTGTGTATAGCTTTTATTGAATATGCATCTTATGTTAGTTTTATTATTTATTTTCCTTTAATTAAAATATTTTTTTTATAAAAGAAGGAACTTGGCAGACATAATGACTAATTGTTGGAACGGATCTCTTTTAAAACAAGCAGACTTTATTCCCTGGTAACTTTGGTACATATGATCACATTAGTTTTGGTTTTCACAAAATATTTGGACATACTTTAGATCAATTAACTGGATATGAAGAGCTTGCTATTTTGTAGCCTGAGTGGAAGGTATGACTTGCCAATCCCAGTTAAATGGCACTGTTTACGAACGCTGCCTTTGTTGGTATTTCAATATGGTCCAGCAGCATGGGGTGCCTGATATACTACCGTGTTGAGAATAAATGGGACCCCGTAGTGCCTTTTAGGGACGTGGTGGCGCTGTGGGCTAAACTGCAGAAGCCTGTGCTGCAGGGTCAGAAGACCAAGCAGTCGTAAGATCGAATCCACACGACGGCGTGAGCGCCCGTCGCTTGTCCCAGCTCCTGCCAACCTAGCGGTTCGAAAGCATGCAAAATGCAAGTAGATAAATAGGGACCACTTCGGTGGGAAGGTAACGGCGTTCCGTGTCTAAGTCGCACTGGCCATGTGACCACGGAAGATTGTCTTCGGACAAAACGCTGGCTCTATGGCTTGGAAATGGGGATGAGCACCACCCCCTAGAGTCAAACACGACTGGACAGAAATTGTCAAGGGGAACCTTTACCTTTACCTAGTGCCTTTTAAGGAAGGGTCTGGAATATCCCTCAAGGGTCACTTAAGCAATGTTACTGCAGTTTTCCTGATGCATCTCTAAAATATATTATGGTCATGGTCTGTCAGTTTTCTTCACTGTCCAGCCTTCACACCCATACATGGGAACTGGAAATGTAAGTGTATGGACGATCTTGATCTTGGTCTTCAATGACACATGCTCACATTTAATGATCTTTTCTAATTCCTTCAACGCTTCCCTTCCAAGTCCCAGTCTTCTTCTGATTTCTTGGCTGCAGACACCATTTGGATTGAACCAAGATATACAAAATTTCCGACTATTTTAATTTCTTTAAAATAAGTAAAAAATAAAATAGGAGGTCCAGCATATAGGTGCCTAACCCGCGGTTGTCCAGATCTTGGCCAAGTCTTAGGGATGAGAGATAGAGCAGTAATTAGGAGTCATCCCTCGATTCACCATTGTCCCACTGCTGACTTCCTGGGAGCAAAAACAGAAATAGATCCATGTGGAAATTGTATTCTTGGCACCATGGGATGCCACCTTCCCAACTGGGAACATGGAGCTGGTGCATGAAGCTCCCGGAAGCTGGAGATCCAGTACTTCTGGCAAGCGAGGGAAGGTGCCCTTGCTCTACCGGGAAGGTGGGCTTCAGCACTGACCAGTTGCTGTTGCTGGCCTGGCCCTGTTGCTGATCTGGTTTCCCTGGACACCTCCTCCAGAGGCTGGGGTTCGGGTTTTAGGCTGCATGGAGAATGGATGGCTCCCTCTTGTTCCCCCTTGGGAAGCAGATGCGCCGGCAATCTCAAGGATTGCCTGCTTATGACAAACGGACAGAACTAGTGGTCTTGCTCCGAAGTGTGTTTTCAAATGATATCTATACTCCTGTCTAGATAAAGAAGTAAATAGCAATCCAGCATGTTTGAGGCAAAGTCCTCTGAGCTGTACCTTTGTGGACAAGCAAACAATTCAGTTACGGGTTTTACCGACTTTCCCAACCTCGTTCACAGCCGACTTTTCCCAGCGCGCCCGTTGAGGAGCCGGCGATTCTCAGATGCAGCTCGGGAGCTGCCCGTCGAAAGGAAAGGCTCAGGCCCCCGCTGTGCTAAGACGCGGGTTGCAAACCCCGCCCCCCAAGGACGCTGGCGATCCTTTCCACGGGTGTGCCTTTGTGTAAAAGATAGCCGCTCGCCCACGGAGCGGGAAAAAGAGAACGGGAGCGAGGCCACCCCCGCGGTGTTTCAGGGCAAGGCGAGGCGAGCAGAGAGCCCCTCCCCCTTGGGCCTCCCTCGGAGCGGCCACCAAGTCCTACCCGAGGGCTGGGCCTCCAGTACTCAAAACATCTGTTTAATGGGGGGCGGGGGCGATGAGCTACGAATTCCTTCCATGGGGAGGTTCTTCCAAGTGGGTCCGAGGGGACTCGCGAGTTCCCTTTGGAGCGTACTGGCTGCGAGTCGCAACGATCTTGACCCCGAAGCTTCCCCCCCATACACACACACACACCCGTGTAGTACATGGCCTTCTCTGTGCAGATCTGGAAGGGGTGCATCTTGCGGAGACTCACCAAGGTCGCCCGGCAGATGGAGATGACCTTCATTGGCATGGTAAGCTTTGCCCGCCCGCAGGCGGGATCCCGGCCGGAGGCGCCCCGAGAGAGCTGCGCGAGCGGCAAGGCGCGAGGAGGCTG